TTGGGAACTGGAACAAATGTTTGCTATATGGAGAGCCTTGATAATGTGCCCAAATGGGATGGCGACCAAAATGAGCCGCGACAAGTAATCATCAACACCGAGTGGGGAGCATTTGGTGATAACGGTGCGTGGAATCACCTCAGAACAAAGTATGATGAACAAGTGGACAGGGAATCAATTAACCCTGGAATGCAATTGTAAGTATACTAAGCTAAGCATAATTGTGATAAAGTCTAATGTAGATACAAATGGTTAATAAGGTAGATGCCTTATGCATCGCAGGGTGGAAAAAAGACGATGATGAGGATAACGACCAGGATGACGATGATGACTTAGAAAGCTGATTATAAACAATACATGTAACTGTCAGGGCCCAGTTAACATATTTGTCTGAAAACTGATTAACATTAAAGTTCTGGGATAAAAGTTTTATACCAAGGATTTTCAATTTGACCATAATTAGTTTGTTTTAGACAAGATAATTGAGGTGACCAATTTTTCTTAAATTAAACATTCAAAACTTGTCCTAAGTAGACAATTAACTACCTCTCGACCAGAGCGACTGAGCTCTGGACCAGTTTGGCTCTAACAAAACTACTGAGAGGTCATTCACAACTTGAATGCATTTAATTATGTTTTCTATTCAGATTTGAGAAGATGATTTCTGGGATGTATCTTGGTGAACTTGCCAGAATTGTTTGCATGGAACTTGTCGAGAAGAAACTCCTGTTCAAAGGACAAGTGACAGAAAAATTCAAGACCAAAAACAGTTTCCTTACCAAGTTTGTCTCCGATATCGAAAGGTAATAATATTATTGTTAATAAGAGCAGAGAAAACAGTGTTTTGTAAGTTAAAATACACACTGTAAAATGCTAGTTATAAGCCCCTCCACTTATAACCCCCTGCTTATAGTGCCCACTCCCCCAATATAAGCTCCCTCTATCCTGGCTTGTCCTTATTTTCATGGACTGCAAGCAAACCATATTAGCAGGCCCTCTTTTCAGTCATTTAATATTTCTCTTCTGCTTTTATATTTCCAACAGCCATGAAAGATTCAAGATCGACGAGGTCCTGACTGAAATGGAAGTGAAGGCTTCAGACTCTGACATAGAGATTTTGCAACAAGTCTGTGCTGCTGTGTCCATAAGAGCTGCCCGACTATCTGCCGCAGGGCTTGCCACTGTTGTCAAGGTATGTGATCATATAATATATTTGACTCAGATCTTCTTGTTACTTGTATAGCCTTTTCAGTCTTGAGCTTAGGGAATATTATTCAACTTTACCTCTGATTGCCAGACGTTTTGATGCATTGGGGCTGGTTTACACATGTGATGGAGTTGGAAGCCCAAGAGTCCATACAAACAGACCTTTCTCCAAAATGGCCACCGCAAATTCAAAATGATTAAAATTAAACTTCAAGCGGAAAATCAATGCTGATGAGCACCTGAAAGACCACCTCTGGTTTGGTAATCATACGGAGTTTCGTTAAGTTAGGTTCTACCTGAGTCAAGAAAACGGAAGTTGAAAAATGGAAAATTTAGAGATGTTTGTATGACTGGATTATGTTACAAATTATACTAAATACAGTTGAACCTCTCCACAATGGCCACCCTGGTGCAGAATTATCTGGCCGTTGTAGAGACTGAGGTGGCTGTTGTAGGGAGGTTTCAATAAGAGTAAAGTGTATGGATCGGTGCATGGTCGGGACAAAAAATCCTGGCTGTTGTAGAGAGGTGGCCATTATAGAGAGGTGGCCTTGAAAGGAGGTTCGACTGCATGGCCTGTTATCCCTTTCACTCCCAGAGTCAAACCTTGAGTCAATAAATGCGGCTGTACCTTTTGAGTCTATGGATGAAACCCTAGTGTGTGACCATTCAAATGAAAGCTATTGAGCAGTACTTTCATTGTGGTACTGTTTGTTTTTGACAATTTTGCAAAATAAAATTCAAGATTTTTTCCTCAGTTTTAAACTTAAAGCACTATTGGGAGTGAAAGGGTTAATAATGTTATTATTGACCAAACTGATTGATTTTATTTTTATAAACAGAAAACAAATAACTACACCACCACCATTGCTGTAGATGGCAGTGTCTTCAAAAAACACCCACAGTTCAAGCGCTACATGGATGAGACTCTAAGAGAGATCTTGCCGCAAGGAAATATCACCCTTATGCTATCTGAAGATGGCTCAGGCAAAGGAGCAGCTCTAATTGCCGCAGTTGCATCAAAATGAACACAGCATAAGCTGACTTGTCAACAATGACATTTATTTAATAATATTAATTTGTTATTAAATAGTAATTTAAAATAGTTGTTTCAGAAAAGAAAGTAGTTAGTAGATACAATCAAAGTTTTAGGAAGCACATAGGTGATAAATTAACACATACACATATAATGTTGAAATCCAAAGAATGTTGTCATGAAATGATACATGAAAATAAATGTCCATTTTTATAAGGGAAACTTAGAAAAAACGAAAAATCTCAAAAAGGTACGGAGTTGATCAAATTACTGGTTATTTTTCTGGGGATGGAATTAGGTTTATTTTTTATGCACTGAGATTATTATCAGGCAAGATGAAATTACGTATACGGGCCAGGTAGGTCCTGGTTGTTCAAAGGATGTATAGCGCTAGATCTACTGGTCTCCACTATCCAGTGGATAGCATAGTTGGAATTGTTGTACAGTCTTATCCAGTGGATTGCATTATCCATCCTTTGCATAAACTGGGACCTGATGCAAGCGTGTCACAAACTTGTGTCAAATCATGAACAGTCTCGCTACATTTCTACTTTAAAATTGCCCAAAAATATTAAGTAGTTAGCTACATAATGGAAAAAAACCCCGGAAAATAATGTTTCAATCACGTTTTGATGAAACAGACTTACCATTGCAAATATTTTTTATCTTAATATTATTAATACTATTTGCATACAACTTCGCTTTTTTGTTGGAAGAGGGTTTAAGTTAAGGGATACATCGTGTGTGTTGCAAATATTCACTTTTATTTTTAGACCTGGTAATCCTTAGTAACAAAACACTCCATACACCATACTTGCGAACACTATTTAAAGAAACTCGTTGAGTTTTGTATGCACATATGCATGTTTAAAATAATATTAAATAAAATGTGGTAAGAAAGGAACAAAGCTTCATTTTGTGTTTTTACTTTTACTGTCTTTTTCCACAGCTTGCCATACATGGCAAGTGTATGGCAAGCCAAAAAAATGTCTGTTTTGGAGGCCTGTACAGCCCCCGGAATGATCTTGACCCTGAAATGATCCCCAAATCGCCTCCAAAATGATCCCCAGATTTTTAATGTAATGGTGTTCAACTCATTTATAACCAAGAAAATCATAACCATGATGGTGGTGTAGCATAGATTTTACTCCTTACTGTTAGTTTCGATTGAGACAGGGTTTGATCACATTTCCAAACCCCAAGAAGAGAGTTGAAAATACGACGTGCAGCGGAGTATTTTTAATGAAATTTGAGGGGTTTGGAAATGTGATCAAACCCTGTCTCGAGGGTTTGATATAAATTATCTTCTCAATCGAAACTAAGGAGGAAACAGAGAAATAAAATCGCAAAAATCTATGGAGGTTTTGATCAGATATCAAAACCCTGTCACGGTCATGATTTCCTTTGTTTTAACCTGATGAATTATTAATGAGTTTGAGAAGATATATCAAACACTCGAGACAGTGTTTCATCACATTTACAAATGCCTTGAATTTCATCAAAAATACTCCGCTATGCATCATAAAAATTATTTCAACTTCTTCTCAGTGTTTGGAAATGTGATGAAACACTGTATCTTGTGTTTGATATATTGCTTGAAATTTATATTTATTTATTTATTCTTTTAATTTAGCTACTTTTACACCCTGATGCAAACTGAAAAATATTGAAAGAAAATAACTGATACCATCTTTGCTTACATGTAGTTCCCCATTAATTCGTGTGAGGCTCGCGCTTTACACACGAGGATTCACGCTTACGGCGCTTCGCATCATTGCAAGCAGCGATTTAAGCGGAAAAATAATGACTGTTTTGTAGTCTATGTCATTTCAGTCGGGGAGACAATTGCCGGTTTTGGCAAATCTTTGTAGAAGCACTCGAAGAGTTTCCAAATCTTTTTATCCAATCAGAAACTAGCACAAGTACTCCGAAAGTAATCGCGCCAGCAAATACGTCATGTTGCTTAGAAACTTCAGGGATGAACACTGCTGGCTCAGTCCCACCTCGGAGGTGGGATTTAGTCATCAACTGGTACTTATTCCCCTCGGTGATTTACTGGACTCTTCTCAGGCACCATGCATATCGTCTAGCTAGTTGATGATCGATTTTCTTTATTCTCATCACCTGTCTGCTTGACAATGTATTGATATTGTTAGGAGAAATAAGCAGTTGACCACTTTAGTAGATTTGGATGATTTATTTACCATAATAAATTAAATAATTATTCTATAATTTGTTTTTAAAAATTTCAGCCCCCAAATATTGGAAGTCGCTTTTTCAAAATGTACAGAACCGTGGAAAAGAACAGTACAAGTCCAAAGAATATCAACAGTCTGTCTGTAACTTCTCTTCTGTTGTATTTGTTAAGAAGGTTCTTGCTTGTTTGAATTATTCCTGATAACCCTTTATATTCCTCTTGTGTATCTTTAACCTGTGCAGATGACGTGGCTGAGAAGAAAAAAAGAAAAAGAAAGTTAACAACGTTAAAAAAATCTTGAAATTCATTTTGCCCAATTGTCAAAAACAAACAGCACCACATGAAAGTACTGCTCAATAGCTTTCATTTGAATGGTCACACACTAGGGTTTCATCCACAGACTTAAAAGTTAGAACACCTTGTACAGCATAATAAACAGCACCACACGAAAGTACTGCTCAATAGCTTTCATTTGAATGGTCACACACTAGGGTTTCATCCACAGACTCAAAAGGTACAACCACATTTATTGACTGATGGCCTTTCACATAGATAGTGGGAGCTGCGGTGACCCAATGGTTAGCGCATTGGACTCAGGATCAAGTGGTCCGGGTTCAAGCGCTGGCCGGGGTCATTGGCAAGACACTTTACTCTCACAGTGTCTCAGCGAGTGAGTAAAATATTGTTTTTAACATGAGAAAATAAAATTCATATCTTCACGCTGTCATCTCATTTTCTTCTAGATTTATAATATATTTTACAACAGTTTGGAGCGTGAAAAAAGTTACGGAATTGTCAAGAACTTTCAACCTCTCAGACTTCTCATCAGGACATGATAATCTAATTTTCTTTAAATTATTATACAGACAAAAAAATACAAATTAATTCAAAGTTTAAAAAAAAAACGTGGAAATGACATCATCAATATCCTCACTACTGAGAATATGGAAAATATGCCACTAGGGTCCCGGTTGTAGTTTTGCATGAATTTTATTTTCCAGTAAAACACTGGGAATGTGTCTATATAATAATATATATTAATTTTTAATATTTTTGCATCATTGACCCACCTAATGTCTGTATATCAGATTCACTCTGCTTAACTTGACCTTCCATCATTCGTGCGATGCTCATTAAATCTTGAGTTATATTACTCGCACTCTTAGCTAAATTCTCCTTGTTGAAATTCCTGAAAATTAATTATAAAATCATAATTTGACACTCATCTGATGACATAGCTCTGCAGAGATCTGTGTAGTGAAACAGATATTTGGATGTAACTTGTATATGGAAATGGGAAATTGTCTCAAAGTCTTGCCGTTATCTATTAGCTACTGTAAACTGCCACTTATAAGCCCACCCCCCACCCCGCACGCTTATAAGCCCCATCGGTTATAGGCCATCTACTTACAAGTAAACAAAAAAATATTCTGGTTATAAGCCCTCCTGGATATACACGTAAGCTGAGCTCAAAGCGGAAAGTCCGAGCTTCCGTTTTGTTATGTTCCGGTTATGTTCTGTTCATGTTGTTACAGTTTTGTATTTGTTTGTTTATTTAAGCGCTTGAATAAATACCATTTTAGAAGCTTTTTCAAGCTCAGTTTAATATTTTCTATGAGTACCATCTCAGTTTATTTCTTATCAGCTCACTTTGAAACATTTTTTTAAAATTCTGCTTATAATAACCCCCCCCCCCCCCCCCCCTTTATAAGCCCACCCAAAAACCTGTTGGCATTTTTTTTATTTATTTTATTTATTTATTTATTTAAAACTTGGCAGTTTTGACGGTAGTTATAGCAGCTGCTACATGTATAATAATTATTTATTGTTACATATTTCATTGTAAAACCAACCTGTTTCTTACATTGGAGCTGCCTCCCAATAATTCTTCCTTCTCACTTTTGTCAATTATGGCCTTTGATGCTAAATTGGCTTTCCTGATTGATGCCTGCAGACTAAAATACAAAAACGAAAATATAAGTCAATTAAAAAATACTCAGCGCGTTCCACTTATTATTCGAGAATATAAACTTTCATTAATCGTGAACGGATTGCATTATTCCTTTCAAACTTCCAAATTTAACTTGAATCGAGTAAAGGAATAACAATCCGTTTGAGTTAAATTTGGAAGTTTGAAAGGAATAATGCAATCCATTCGAGTTAAATTTGGAAGTTTGAAAGGAATAATGCAATCCGTTCATATTAATGAAAGTTATTCTTGAATAATAAGCTGAATGCGCTGAGTATTTTGACTGTAAATGAGGGGTGGTGAATAGTCTTTCCAAAAATATGGGTCTCACAGTCTTGATTTTTTCACGAAGCCATCTCAGAGTCTCTATCTTGCAATCTAAAAACTCAAAAAGAATTGAGCTTGCAGATAAAAATGCTAGTCTCACTGTCTCGCAAATTCTCAATTTTACTAATAATTCGCCACCCCTTAAATGCTGTCTAAGCTTTGTTTAAAATCGGCCCAGTGACTATATAATTATAGTTTATCTAATTAACTGTACCTTGACAATTCTTTTCTATGATGTTGCATGGCTGCTAGTATTGCTAGACGGTCAGATTCTTTGTCTTGCTCAAAAGCCACTTGCTCCAAACCCTAAACATATGTGTACATATACAACGAACTACTGTAAAGTTCCAAAAGTAACAACCCTCATTACTTTCGGAATAAGCAGCATTTGGGGCTCGCTACTTTCGGGGGGTCGTTACTTTCGGGGAACAAAAATCGTTAAAGAAAATTATACGGGTTTTGTTTTTACACCGCGCAACATGAAAGAACGATCTCTTGCAGGTGTCACCTAGGGGGTGTTTTATGGGGCAGGGGGGGTGGGAACCCAGGAGTAAAGGGAGTCTCAAGGGAGCTGGGTGAAGAGAGGGCTGGAAGCAAGATTCTCAACGTGGCAGGAACTGGTAGAAATAGGAAAAATGTTTGGAACATTGCATAATATTTTTCAATACAGTAGTAAAAACACAGAGGGGTAGGAACCACAATGGAAGGGGCGGGAGTACAAGGTGCAGGAAGGTGGAAGTTCACACACCCCCCCCCCCCCCCCCCCCCCGACCACACTTTTATGTCATGACGTGGATAATGCCAAAGATCTTTGGCATGGGTTCCAAAAGTGTGCAGCATACATTACACTGGTGTCTGATCATGTATATTCTTTTTGGCATATACTGGCATGCATGTTTGGCATATAAAGCTAGCGATAGACCTTGGCCACTTGGTAGAAATTTTGAAAACCTTGGCGTATCTTTCGCATGGGAAATGGAATGCTTCCTGGCCAAGAGAAAATTCTGTGATTGAAGCTTCCATACTGGTAGTAGAGTACATAGTGTCTCTCTAGCGCTAGTGCTATATGTCATCAACATGGATTTTTTTCAGCTCAAAATCAAATCCCCGAGACATCTTTCACAGCCGGGCCTGCAGCTCTAGATGTCTGTTTTCTCGCGCTATAATTTTTGTGACAGAATTTAGCATTAAAACACGTTTGCAAATCAGTGATCAGTCCATTTTATCCCAAGTATTATTTAGTTTATTAATTTATTAATTTGTACAACTGGGTTGAAGGGCTTACCTCTACTTTCTGCCTCAAAGAATTCAGCTTTTGTTTCACCTTCAAATTCAAGTCATTGAGTACACTCAATGGCCCCTCGCATTGTCGTATGCTTTGCACATTATTTTGGATCTCAAACTCAGTCTTGACGATTTCTTGGACAAGAATTTTCACTTGAACGGGAATTTCAATGCCGTCCGCCATTTTGAAAAATTACCACTGCAAAGCGTTCTGGGAAAGTGAAAAAGAAAACCGATGTGGGGTGGGGTGAGGGTTAACCTGCGATCAGGCCCTCCCTCTCGTTCTCCGCGAAAAGAAAGAAAAGGAAAAGAACGCCTGATCGCAGGTTAGGTGAGGGTAAGATTGCGTGTTTGTGTCAAAATTTATTTTCTACCTTTATTTTTCCCATGATAGTTTCAGTTTCCTTTCTCACTCAGAAATTTACGGTGGCTTCTAAGGGACATACATTTCTCCCACTTTTTTTTTCTCACTTGCGACTTATTTGCGACTTACTTGCGACTTCCGACTTAGCTTGCGACTTAGCTTGCGACTTACTTGCGACTTCCGACTTAGCTTGCGACTTAGCTTGCGACTTACTTGCGACTTCCGACTTAGCTTGCGACTTAGCTTGCGACTTGCGACTTGCGACTTGCGACTTACGTAGAAGGCCACGTGGTCAGAAACAAGATGGATTCCAACGAAAATCTAAAGAGAATAAATGTAATTTATGTTAATAGATTGAAAGTCTATTACGTAGAAGTGTGCTGTTTTTACGTAAATAATAACAAAACAGACAAAATACCTGGTCCACATCCGCCGGCGGTTCCTCGTTGGAATCCATCTTGTTTCTGACCACGTGGCCTTCTACGTAAGTCGCAAGCAAGTCGCAAGTCGCAAGCTAAGTCGCAAGCTAAGTCGGAAGTCGCAAGTAAGTCGCAAGCTAAGTCGCAAGCTAAGTCGGAAGTCGCAAGTAAGTCGCAAGCTAAGTCGGAAGTCGCAAGTAAGTCGCAAATAAGTCGCAAGTAAGAAAAAAAAAGTGGGAGAAATGTATGTCCCTTAGAAGCCACCGTAGAAATTCTCTATTTCGTGTAATTTTCCTTCGTTTTTGAGCTGTTCAGTTGCAAATTTCATCAACCTAATCTTGGGGACTGTTCGTAACCCGACAGGTTTTCGGAAATCGTCGGTGTTATTCGGCGATTTACAAAATAATCGGCAAATGTTCGGCGACCGCCAATTTTGAGCCATGTGTACCGCGAGAGCCAATCAGAATCTTTCAACCGTTGTTCCATCCGGCAAACGCTTCGAAGAGTCGCTACACGCCGCGAGTGATTTACTGCTTTAACATAATTTTACCGCGTGGATTTCAACTCTGTCACCCACTTGGATGGCAGCAGTAGAATCCAGAGATGAAAGCGGCTCTTCTGAACCCTCAGAGAGCGCCAGTTCGAAGGACTGCGCTAGCAAAGCGAGCCCACCGACTCAAAGTGCTTCGTGGCTGGTCGGTGATGTAGTTTGGTCGAAAATCCCGGGGCATCCGTGGTGGCCATCAATGGTTTCCTACGACCCCAACACGGCAGTTTCTTTCAAGTACAAAGGACGGGCAAGATATTATCATGTACAATTTTTTGGCCAAGATCCTGTGCGAGGCTGGGTGTCGGAGAGATCGATTTTGAAATTTGAAGGTAGGAAATTTCAGAATGCATTTGCTAAGAAATTGACGAGGTCGGAAAGATAAATCTCGCAAGGTTTATCAATAATTGTGGGATTAATCTTAACACACTCCTACTAGGTGTCGTAATTAAACACATCGTCCTCTTTGTCGCTTAAAATAACGGCGGCGAATAATCGCTTGGCGATTTTTACGTTCAAAATTATATTTCACCCCGCCATGTTTGTCACATTTCATTCAAAACAAGTACAATTCATTCACAAGTGAAATGAATTATAAAAATTCGTCGCCAATTGCGTGCGCGCATTGGACTGGATTTTAATCAAGCACTTTTTGCAGAGTCCAAACTGACGTTTTTAGGTTACGGGGAATTGTTTTCGGATCGCAACTTGCCAAAGTAAATAG